AAAATGTGAAAATAATGTTGTAACAGAAAAATGTAAACCCAAATGTTGATAAGTATAGTAAATTAAATGGAATCAATGTAAAAATATCACTTCTGGTATGTTTATTTTCAAAAATGTCTCCATGAATTGTTTATTTTCAAAAATACCACAACTTAAAAAAAACCATAAATATTAAAATTTTAAACCCTAAATAAGATCTAATACAAAATAGTTAACCCAAACCAAAATGGTATTTTGAGTAAATGACATTTTTAAAAATTCTCAAATTAATATATTGTAGATTTAGTGCCTTACGAAGGAGTGTAGCAGAGGAACTTGAGAGGAGGGAAGAGAGTGAAGAAAGATCTTGGAATGAGCTCGAAGTTGCAGTGACCCAAGTTGTTCATGAAATCAATGTAAGTTACGTATAGAGCAGCCGAGACGACAGAAATTGTCCCACATAGCAAAGCCGTTACTAGAGGTAGCGCCAAGATTATTGTATACCCAATGTGCTCCGCAAACGGATGTACCACCGCTGCAATCAAAACGCATTATCATACTAAATATTTTTAGTGTAAAACTAATATAATACAAAATTTTATATCTGCATGTGTATTTCTGATTATGAGGTTATTATATATATAAATCTGTTTTACAAATAAACAAACACATGAGTTGAACTGAACTAACTCATAATTTACAACCCTGAATTATATAATAAGCTGATTGGACATAGAAACTTTTATACTAAATTACTTGAAACAAAGTCGAATTATACGAAACTGAACCAAAACTACTAAGAAGTTTTTATATTTTGTGAATTGATTAGGTGATTTTTATTATGGAATTACCAGATTTTTTATTTGACTTTTTTTTCTTTTAAATTTATTTAATTTTAAAAAATCTAGCGTTTAACTACCTTTTATAGAAATATCAAGTTAACTATATATTTATTTTGGCCAAATTTAATGGTAAGATTTATTATTAGAATATTAGAAATAACATATCATATAAAGTATATATTAAGTAATGAGAATTTTAATTATTTATTTTAAAATATGTGTTAGTTTGATTACAAACATATAATTTATGAAGTATATAGTTTCGCAATAATTTATGAAAGTCAATAGTAATATATAATTAATATATAAATTTAAAAAGAAGTTTATAATTATATTTGGTAATGGGTGTATATTCTGTTTGGCAATAGGTATAACTGAACTAAATAAGTCAAAAAAGAAAAGACTAAAAAATGTGTGGTGTTAACACGCGCTAGTGGCCTAAAATATTTTTCTTTTAATATATTGAGGATATAAAATAAATAAATAGCACATAGAAAGAAGAGATGAAATAATATATTGTTATTACTTTATTGGAATCATCTATATATTAAATTATTTAGTAATTTTTGGTTAGTTGAACTATTTCGGTTCGGTTTCGTATGATTCAGATTAGATTGTGGTAATTTAGTATAATAATTTATATATCCATTCAGATTATTATATATTTTGGTTCAAGTTTAGATTGTTAAGTTTTTTTTAAAAAATGTTTAGATTG